GCAACAAATTGCTCGCGTTGAATATTGCGAGGATCTTATCAAAACAGCCAGACGAAACTGTACATTCCTGGAATCAATTGTAACTAGTGATGGGACTTGGTGCTTCAAGTATGAACCTCGAACAAAGCGCCAAAGTGCTACGTGGAAATCTTCAGGCTCTCCAAAATCAAAAAATTGCGATTCCAGAAGTCCCACGAGAAGACAATGTTAATTTGCTTTTACGATTCTAAAGGAATTATACTTCGGGAATTCGTTCCACAGGGACAAAATGTTAATGGCGAATATTATCTGGGTGTTATGGAACATTTGTGGAAGAGGATCGTTCGTGAGAGGCCCGAATATCGAGCGCCGGGAAGTTGCTTTCTGTTGCATGATAACGCACCATGTGAACTGTCGCTGTTCGTGAATTTTTGGCGAAAAACAAGTCTGTTCCGACATCCTCCAAATTCTGACTTATCTCCATGTGATTACTTTTTCCAAAACTGAAATTAGCTATAAAAGGAATATTGACTACAAAAAGAATATTAAAAGGTTTTAAATAAAAATGAATTAAACAAATAAAATTTCTGTCATCGTTGATTTCACGGGAAAGAAAAAGAGAAAGCGAGGAGGGTGCGTGTCAGGGGTTGGCGGGGGTGTATTGATCTGCAGGTTGCACGAGAACAGCGCCACATATTGGCTCCCGAGCACAACTAACGTCTTCATCCTTTTCAACCACCTTTTTAACCCCTTTTACCTGTTTCCGTGTTTCTTTCTCCCTTGAAATTCACGCCGGCTTTAAATCGTGGTTTTACACCATGAACGTTCACGCGACCACCAGGACAAAGGGTTGAAACTCGGCCGTGAATCAAGATACCCCAGGGGGTCATTGTTTTCCGGCCTCCTGGCAGCCTCTTTCGTATAATTTCTGTATTTGAGCCCCTCTTAAAGCCAAACTGATTGACTCCATAAAACGGAAAGCACGGGAACGCGTTTTATTATTTCTTTTAATCGTCGTGTTTGCCGACGAAGAATAATTGGACTTCAGATGCTGATTTGAGGCATGCGAAACGTCCTTGAATTTTTATGTTAGTGTTTCAGAGATTATCTTGATTCTTCGTATTTATTTTGCAGATCGGTAGATCTTCATTTTTTATATTTATCTATTTAGTCGATTTCTTCATTTACTTTGGTAAAAATTGATAATAAATGTTAATAAATTTGCGTGATTTGTTCTGCTTCCAGGTGTGGTTCCAAAACCGGAGGGCAAAATGGCGGAAAAAGGAGCATACGAAGAAGGGTCCAGGAAGGCCAGCCCATAACGCTCATCCTCAGAGTTGTAGTGGAGAGCCCATTCCCCCTGAAGAACTGAGAAGAAAGGAGCGAGAAAGGCGGCAGAAGAAACTGTTGAAGGCTCTTGAACGACAGCAGAGGAAATTGGCTGCCAAGGTCAGTGAAAATCACTAATCACAATATGTTTAGGTAACCTTGAACGACAAAGTCAATCGTATGTTCACATATCCTTGAATGTCGAAGTCAGGTGTTCACATGATCTTGAATATCAAAGTCAATGGGATGTTCACATAACCTTGAATGTCAAAGTCAATAGTGTATCCACATAATCTTGAAGTCAAAGTCAGAGTAGGATGTCCACATGATCTTCGATATCAAAGTCAATGGAATGTTCACATAACCTTGAATGTCAAAGTCAATAGTGTATCCCCATAATCTTGAAGTCAAAGTCAGTGTAGGATGTCCACATGATCTTGGATATCAAAGTCAATAGGATGTTCACATAACCTTGAATGCTAAAGTCAGAGTAGGGTCTCTACATAATCTTGAATATCACAGTCAGTATAGTATCCACATAATCTTGAACGTCAAAGTCAAAAATGCATGCACATAACCTTGAATGTCAGTGTCAGCAAAGCATTCAAATAATTGTAAAACTCTCAGCCATCATATAAGTCCGCCCACATGTAAATAACTCTGAACGTCAAAGTCAATAATTCATATAACTTTGAAAGCCAAATAATTTTGAACATCAAACTCAATAATGCATTTCAATAACCTTGACCGTCAAATCGAACAACCGAAGTGATCGCAAAAATACGAAGAAGCTAATTTGTGACTTCAGGGTATCACCGTGGACCTGTCAACGTTGCGCGCGGAGTGGGAGTCTCGCAGCGCGGCGGCGTCCAGCGGGAACTCGTTGAACGGTACCCTGGGTGGTTCCTTCAACTCCTTGAGCAACAACGAGAGCAGCAGCGTCTCTGGATCAGGGAACGACGCGAACGAGGAGATCGACGTGGTCGGTGGTTTGGATTCCTGCAGCGAGAGTGGCAGCGAACGAGTGGACTCAGCGGCGGACGGTTCCGTGGACGGGGAATGTTACCCCACCCTAACCGGCACCATGAGCGAGTCAAACGAGCCTCGAAGAGCCGTCCAGGTGTCCGGACCCGCTCCGAACTCCAGCCTAAACCTGGACCACCTGAGCCACCAGCAGGATATCCACCATTGGAGTCTCAGTCTGCTAGAGCGAAGGAGGGAGCTGGTGAACCTGAACAACGTGGCCGGCGTTCGTTGTCAGACGACGAACAACACCGGAAACCCCGCGAGGACACCTGTCAGACACGCTTCCGAGGAGGAGGTGCAGAGCAGCAGCATAGACCTCTCCGTCAAGGGTCGGGAAGAGAGAAAGAGGCTCAACCCGTTTTCCATTGACAGTCTTCTGGGGAACAACAGAACGAGCACCCCTGGGTTACACAATGAATACAGAGCCTCCACACCTACCCTGTCGAATGGGAGGGAGTCCAACCCCACGTCACCGATATCGGTGCCAACTTCTCCATCCACCACGTAGTAATCCAAGAAGTCGAGTCCCTTGTCTGGTGATAAGCGACGCGAGTTTGTTTGTGTGACAACGAAACGATGGGCCAGTTAACAGACATTATCGAGAACAACGAGACTTTGTGGGAGACTTAGGGTAGCTTTGCTGTGGGCTCAATCAGGTATCAAGGAATTATAGGTGGGTTTGTGGGGAACATTTTTGAAGTCTTTTATAGTGAAGGTTTGTGACGTGGGTGTATGGGGAGGTTTGACAGTTGAGTTTTATAGTGGAGGGGTGTATAGTAGATTGTTATAGTGCCAGAAGGTGTAAGGTTAGATTTGTGGTGAATAGGTGAACTTGGGATTTGATGTTGAGGATCTTGGTGGTAATTTGTGGTAGACAAGTTCCTAAGTTTGCAATTTCCAAATTCTGAAGCTTCCAAAGTTGCAAATCCCTAAATTCTTAAGTCTCTAATTTGACAAATGACCAAACCCACAAATCCTCAAATTCCCTAATCCCCGAATTCTGAAGCTCCCAAACTCTCAAGTCCCCAAATTCTCAAATCTTCAAGTTCTCAAACCTCCAAATTCTGAAATCCCCAAATTGTCAAACTCCCAAACTAACAAATCCCTAAATCCTCAAATCTCCAAGTTCTCAAACCCCCAAATTCTAAAATCCCCAAATTACTAAACTTCCAAACTCTCAAATCCCTAAATTCTGAAATCTCCAAATTCTCAAACCCCCAAATTCTAAAATCCCCAAATCAACTCCCAAACTCTAACCCCCCCAAATTCTCAATTCCCCCAACTCTAAATTCCTCAAATTCCCAAATCCCTAAATTTCTATCACCCCAACATCAAGCTCTAAAAATCTCCATAAATGCCATCTCCCAAAAAGTGCCCACGACCACCTAAAAACAGCAATATAACGAGACTACTGTACTTCGAAACTAAAAAACTCAACTACTAAAATATCTACCCCTACATGAAATTCACCATACTCGAACATTTCCCAAAATAATTTTTCTTAATACTTGACTGATCCCACACGTGTTCGACGAAGAGGAATTGTGGTCTTGTCAAGACTATCGATTAGTCCTCGATTCAGTGATTCGAGTAGTACGAACTCGTTGACTGAACAAAAGGAAAAAAGCTTATATCAGTTTCGACATATCTGCATCGAGTGAGTGAACGACTTTAAAGTCTGTCCATAGTGATTGAATTTCTTCTTTGTCTCGTGTGACGTACGAGACGAGCATGTGCAATAAATCGTGGATGATTTCTTTTTCTGTTCTTTCTTACTTGAAAGTTGCGGCTGCGAGAGTGATAGACTGCGTGTTGTATTTAATGTAAATATCTCGAAGTACGGACGATTATCGTTTTATTTAATTGAATCGTAGGCCGATACCCCAGTGTTCGTCGAGTCGCGGATCTTATTTAAAGCAATAGAGATTTTTCGCCTGATAAACGCGTGTATATAGAGAGACGACGATTTTAGGCCGCGACGGATGCCGGTGAATTTAAACATGCGGTACAAATGCCGATTTTTGGATCTCTTTGTGGAGGAGACGGATAGAGAGATGGGATGTTACGAGATGCCATAAAATCTGGGATGCGAGACAGTATCTACCGTATATTCATTTCAAATATATTAATTTATTCTGAAGACTACTTGGTGTGATCTGATGTAACCTTTGTCCTCTTCCATTCCGTTGGTCATTCCGCTATTGATGGAAACACATGAGTTGGCGTGTGAACTATGACGCACCCGTGACACACCAGTGACGCACTCGGGACGCACCCGTGACACACTCGTAATGCATTCGTGACGCACTCGTAATGCACTCGTGACGCACAGAGACGCATTCGAGCCACTCGCGATGTTCACGTGACGCACTCATGACGCACCCGAGATGCACTCGTAACGCACTCATGACGCACTCGTGTCGCACTCATGACACACCCAAGATGCACTCGCGCTGCACTCGTGACGCACTCGTGACGCATTCGTAACGTACTTATGACGCACTCGTGACGCACCCGAGATGCACACGTAACGCACTCATGACGCGCTGGAGACGCACTCGTGTCGCACTCATGACACACCCAAGATGCACTCGCGCTACACTCGTGACGCACTCGTGACGTACTTATGACGCACTCGTGACGCACTCGGGACGCACTCGCAGTACAAATATTACAAATTTCTCTTCTATTTTTGGTAAGCGACATTTTTCAATTTAGGTGCCATAATTTACATACGGATGTCCTACGAGTTGGCACGTGGGCTATGACGCACTCGTGACGCACTCGCAGTACAAATATTGCAAATTTTTCTCATATTTTTGGTACGAGACATTTTTCAGTTTAGATATAATAATTTATGTATCGATGTTCCACGAGTTGGCAAGGGAGTTATGACACACTCATGACGCACTCGTGATTCAAATATTGCGAATTCTTCTCATATTTTTGATACGCGACATTTTTCAGTTTAGGTATAATAATTTATGTATCGATGTCCCACGAGTTGGCAAGGGAGTTATGACGCACTCGTGACGCACTTGTCGTTTTTTGTGTAACTGGTGTGCGCGACGGCGAGAGAGCCAATTGCTCCGCCAAAAATACGTGCGAGCCGCCATTTTTCTATTCCGACCAATTGGAGTGGCGCTTCTGAACGCGTCAGCCTCCGCGCCAACTCGTGGGTTGACATCGGTAAGTGAAAATATATTGATTCACTCTTGATAGAGGAATCGGAACGTGTACGGTAAGACAATTTACTTTATAAACTAAATAATCTGTTACTCCACTGTGTTTACAGTTCGATATTATTTATTTTCACCAAAGTTTGTGCAAGTTTAAATTTTTGCGTACTAAATGAAGCGATGGATGGTGCTTTTCGAAAGTTACGTTGGTATGCTATTAAATAAAGTAATAATGTTTACGAATAATTATATTAAAGGCACGGTAGCAATTATTAATTAAAGTACGCAACATCTTGGAAAAGTTGATTCGATCTGACGTAGCAATTTACCTGAGAAATGAATGAGGATAAGAATCTTGCCGTGAATAATTTTGTGGGAACACCCACGAAGTGCGGTTATAATTGAATTTTTATCAAACCAGCAGCTGATGATCAATGATTAACATATTTAATTGACCACGTCTTTTTTTAATAATTGATCAAGTCTCTCTAATCAAGGTTAATTTTTGATAAAAAGTAATTGACAAATATATGAAAATTTAATCATCACTGATTAACAAATTATTAAAATTATTAAAATAATTTTTTTACGCGTTTCGATTTTTATGTGCACTTAAATTGAAAGCTCAGTGGTTTGTCAAGTATATCATATAATTTTCGTAACTCTAATAGAGGTTATTAACCCAATTTCTCGTCCTGTTAGTGTAAACAAAAAACAGCAGAGTGATTTGATATTTTAATCTACGATACTCTCGCGTAGTGCACGGTGATAATTAAAGGTTATAGTGGTTCTACCTGATCAGGATAATTGAGATAATTATCTTATATAAAATTAAATATCGTACATAGTAATTAACGGGATTTTTGTTTATGAAATACAGATATCTTTGCAATTATAGATAACGTTTAAACTAACTGACGATAGATCATCAATTGTAAAATCACCTCGAGGAACTGAGTAAGTACCTATTTCAGCATTCTCTCTTTAATATGATCTTTACATCATATCAAAACCTATGATCTTAAAACAGTAACAGATTTAACCTATAAACTATTAACATACAAGAAATCATAATAGAATGAAGTTACCGATAAAATCGTAGACAGTGATTATTAAGAAAATTCGTAAAAATATTGTGGAGCATTTGCAAAGATCTTGTGAAGCAATTTGCATGACGAGGGATCATCGAACGCTCGTCAGAAAATATTCAGGCAATTGTAGAAACAAGGCGGTTTCATTGCCGTTAATAATTTAAACAGTCCGCGACACCAGCGATTAATTACGCGTTTATCGTCTGCGACGTACAAGTGGAGCGTGATTTATGGAAGCTTGATTGCGGCACGTCTTTTGCTCGTTGCTGTAACTACATTATGATCTAAGGAAGCTTCACCCACGTCATAAAACGAGTCAATTCGCGTGTTTCTTTTGTTTCCCTTTTTTAATATACGCCCACGCCGTGTCGATAAACCTTTTGTTCGCGTATCGCTAAATCGTGACACGCGAATTGTTCTCGCGTAGGAATAATGAGCTCGAAATTGCCGACTCGAATTACATGAAATGCCGTCGATGCAAATTGCTCGTACACTTTCACTCGCTGATGTCTTCGTAACGTTTCGCAAAATTCTATTTATTAATTTGTTTATTGTCAAATTTTATTTATTTTTTAATTATTCGTATGACGCATTCGTGACGCACTGACACTCAAATAGAGGACATTTTTCGGGTACTTTTGACACGCGTCAAGTTTCAATTTAGGTATAATAATTTACATACGGATGACTCATGACGCAGTTCAAACGTAAATTTGGGATTTGGGAATCTGAAAATTGAGATGGGACATTTAGAAATTTTTTAATAAGGAAGTTTGGGAATTTGAGATTTTGGGGAATTTGAAAATGTGTGATTTGAGAATTTGGGGTTTTGGAAATTTGGAAATGTGGAAATTTAGAAACTGGAGAATTTGGGATTTTGGAGATTTGGAAATTTGAGAATTAGGAATTTTGGAATTTTGGAATTCTGGAAATGCAGAAATTTGGAAATTGGGAATTTGGAATTTTGGAGATTTGGAAATTTGAGAATTAGGAATTTTGGAATTTTGGAATTCTGGAAATGCAGAAATTTGGAAATTGGGAATTTGGAATTTTGGAGATTTGGAAATTTGAGAATTAGGAATTTTGGAATTTTGGAATTCTGGAAATGCAGAAATTTGGAAATTGGGAATTTGGAATTTTGGAGATTTGGAAATTTGAGAATTAGGAATTTTGGAATTTTGGAATTCTGGAAATGCAGAAATTTGGAAATTGGGAATTTGGAATTTTGGAGATTTGGAAATTTGAGAATTAGGAATTTTGGAATTTTGGAATTCTGGAAATGCAGAAATTTGGAAATTGGGAATTTGGAATTTTGGAGATTTGGAAATTTGAGAATTTGGAATTTTGGAATTTTGGAAATTTGGAAATTTGGAAATTTGGAAATTTGGGAATTTGGAAATTTGGAAATGTAGAAATTTGGAAATTTGAGAATTTGGAATTTTGGAATTTTGGAAATGCAGAAATTTGGAAATTGGGAATTTGGAATTTTGGAGATTTAGAAATTTGAGAATTGGGAATTTTGGAGACTTGGAAATGCAGAAATTTGGAAATTTGAGAATTTGGAATTTTGGA